TATAGGATAAAAGGTAATAACGAAGTAGAAAGATGTTTACTAAAATATATTTTCGATTTATCAGATTTAGTGACTTATTTTGTAGCATTTAATAATACATGTGGAAGTTAAAATTGGAATCAATTTATTGTTACTTCATTGCTTTTTGCAATATACAAGAAAACAAATTTAGAAATTATAGATTTAAAATTCATGGAATCAAGTAACTCATACTTATAATGTGACTCAATGTACGCCACTATCAAAAGAAAAAGTAAACACAAAAATATTTATTCACCTCATGAATAGACATATATGAATGGCAAGATTAAATCCAAGGCCTTATCAGGTAAGTTTTATAAGCTATAAATTGTTTTATGCCTTCAAGATTTAGTTAGAATAACTATTAAAACGTACCAGTTACTATTACAAACAAAAGTCAATAGGATAAAAATTGAAAAAATCAGTACAGGAAAAAAGATTTGATGTCATTATTTAACAAAAATACTGGAAAAATAAAAACACTTCTATGAAAAATATTGAAAAAAAATTTCCAATAGACTATCTAATGATGACAATATTAATCAGTAAACATGCAAATCAAAAAGTACAATATGATAGATAATTTTAGATAGTTTGATTTAAATGTTTTATTATTTACGGGGAGTTAACAATTTAAAATTTATTATATTTTACAAGACATACTTATGATTGTTACTTCTTACATCCTCCTAAATCTTTGAATATTATTCCTGAAAAATAACTAAATATCATATTTTTTTAGTCTTAACCTAATACGAAATAACACTGAGAAAACCTAGTTTTTCATTAATTATCGAAAAAATAATTATGCTATGTATAATTTTTATTTTTGTTTTTAATTTCTCTTTGTTAACACTAATATAAATGAATTCTGGTTGCTTATTGACCTGGCTATCGAACGCCGAGAAACGCTATATGCTTTTAATAATCTTCGTCTTCATTGCAATATAACTGATATGCTCTGCACATAACATTTAGTTCTTTCTGAACGACATTTCCATTAGTTTAATAATGGTGTCTCACGTACACATCACTATAAAGTGTTTTTCAGTTTTTATTAGTTGTAAATATAATACTAATAAACTTCTAAAATATTCTTTTATTTTTATTGAAAAAATTAATAAAACTTTTAACAGGAAAAATACTCAAACTTTAATACCTCCCAGAACATTCATAAATGGTATAGGAATTTACATAATTTATTATGTAATCAATGCGGTTAGGTTATATAGTTTTGTGGATTACTTTTGCACATTTTTACCCGTATAAATGTTTGTGTAAAAACAAATAACAAGATGCGTAGTATTATTATACTGCGCAATATAGTACAGTAGTCAGTTAATAATTAGTACTTAGGGACTCTAACATCATTGCCGACTTATTTGTGAGGTGAATAGCAAAAGATGTTTTTGTGATAAAAACGTTCCTTAAGATTTTATATGAATGATTTTTCAATTAAATTTTGTGTTTAATGATAACTTGAAAACAAAAATATTGCAGCGTATTATTTAAAAAATACTCGTGTGATATTTATTTTCAATTCATTTTTTAATTATTAATCTACACATATTAATTATAATTTGTTTTTAAAAATCGTCGTCATATAGTATTTAGTAAATAAATTCGTTTTCATTAACTGAGTTTAATTTTCTCTTATTTTTACAGATCTTCAGTTGATTTAAAAAAAATCAAATAGATATTTTTAAATTATATATATATAGACTATAAAATTATATTCTATAAGTAATGAAATAAGTGTGTTTTAGTAATGTTAAAACATTAAAATAATAAAGAGGAATTGGGGAAATAATTTAAAAGGGGTAGAAATATTTTTTGAAGAATTTAAATATTGCAATACTGTATTGTAGTATTTAAATAATTAAAAGTTTTTGTGTAATATGTGATGTTAAATATGCAGTGATTTTAGTTATGTAAATTAATTTATTCTAGTAAAAGCTATCTATTGGCATCAGTTGTCAGTATTTTTGTTTTAAAATATTATCATTTATACAAGTTTATATTAAGAATATTAACTCAATGTTTAAATATAGCTTTAGAAAAGAGTGCTTAGAAATTTCTCCGTGTCATCTGTCACGAGTATTTCATATATCGAGAAACATTTTTTTTCAAATAACTCTGGTGTATTACAATAACAATAAAAAAACTTTAGTTAAAAACACTGAAAGATATGTTCATATTTCTTTACAATTTTTATTATTCATCACTTGTCTATTTTTATTCGGCTATTGACTAAAGGTGCTATAAAGTTATAAAAGTACATTTCTCGTAAAATCTGTTCTATTCAAGATAATGATAATTAATTTTTATTTTTAATAAAAAAAGTCATACGCTTATCTCTTTTCAGTAATAGGTATCAATAAAAATTCAACAATTTTTTATTCAAATTAATTTGAGGTCTTTATCATTATATATATATATATATAATATATATAAAATGATATATCTTTTTGAATTTAAAACTATACTGATATTTTAACATAGCGAGAGTTACATTTTAAGTGAATATTTTATAAATCACATATTCATATCGCGGAAAAATAAAATAGGCGTAGATGCTACCACAAAAAAACAATAGTTTACTGATTGTTGCTTTTTCTACGTCCAAGTGAGTGAATGGTATACATTATTAAATCATTGTCGGTCAATATGTATATGATTCACTGAATGTTACCGATATTATTATAAACCGTTATTGTATACCATCGTAGTAAGTATCTTTTTATATATATTATTTTTCACTAACGAGAAAAAAATTAAATTAAAAAACGAGGGTAAACATTTCACCCTCGTTTTAATTGAATAATATATTTATGCAGATCCGCAGTAAGTAAACGGTAAAATATTGTTTTTAGCAGGTGTCTGTTGGTGGTTTTGATTATAAAACATTAAACTATAAAAAAAAATTTTCTTTTTATATCATTATGTATATCAAAACATTTATATCGGAGTACAATAGCCTTTTCTACTATTTCATACAAACTGTAAATTATGCATTTTTCATTTCGTTGTTTTCTTAGCTTCCAAAGCTAAGAAAGATCATGTTTTTTTAAATCTTTTTTTGTTTAATTTCATGAATAGGCTCAAGTTGTAGAATAAATTAATTATATCATTTTAAGTTTATTAAATTTGTTAGTTGTAGACGGCACCAATTGCGGGATTAAGTATGAATTAAATATATTTAAATCGAAATTCCTGATATTAATGTTATAAGTTTATAATTATGTTCTGCTAAAACATAATCTTAACTCAGTTTCTATAAACAAATTATTCAACTTTTTATAACATTTATTATCTTTATGTATATTCTATTATAGTGCTTTGAGCTTCCAATGGTTATTTGAAAGTTTTTATTCATAGGAAAATATTTTTTATGAATATTGTATATCAATAGCAGTTATATCAATATTAAATTACGGTCACGATTTTTAGTCGTCATTCAATTAAAAATCGTTTCGTATTGGTTGCTACCTATGCCTGGATACGTACAAAAAATGATTCATGAATGAAAACATTCTAACCTAACATGTAATTGTTATTCTTTTATGAAAAATTTAATAATTAACTATTACGAACTATTTGATAATAATTTAAGAGTAATGAGCGATGATGATCCAACGTTGTTAAATTAATTACTCAATTATTTGATTCACAAGCAATTAATCACCACTAATAATTTTTGTTTTCGGTAATGTCGTTTTGAATTTCGTTTACATAAACAAATGCATTTAATAGTAAACATGTCATGCTTGCAAATAATGAGATGATACTATCACTTTGTTGCATCTATATTATTCAATATTTTGGATAATTGTTTATTCGTAATTAAAATTGTAACCTTTAATCAAACACCGATCTTGTGAAGTATCAACATATCTTTAAAATACAATTATTTGCTTATCCAGATGATTGTTTATAGTTTTTGCGTAGTGACACATTGATATAAAAGCAGAAACAACCAATGTGTAAACATTGCGAACAACATGGTGAATGAAAAATTCATTTTCGTATATCGCTTTGACTAATGAAAAAATACATTTTTAAACATAACAGTTCAATTTTCATCAAATCGTCCGTGAACAGTTTTAGTGTACTATTTTTTTTCTTTTGATAAACTATAAACATTTTATATAATATATAAAATTATGTTATAATGTATAATTTAAATTATGAAATGTCTTTGGTAAATATCTCACAATTATTTTTAGGTTTTTTTTTTCTGCCTTTTCGAACCTAATGCAATGTTTAACAAAATATCAAATTATTACTACAAAAATGAAAAATAATTGTTCAAAACTACATCGGAATTCTTCAAAACAATAATATAAAACTCATTTTTGTCATTCAAACCATTGTCATTGTTAGCAAAATGGAAATCTTGAAATTAATTATTACTGCGAAATTCCGGTATTATTCTTCGTGAAAAGTGGTGAAACAAACTTTTATAACGAACAATCATATCGTAATTAGTTTTACTTTTTAAATTCATGACGTACTACAGTATGTGCTGTTAAAAAGAAGACCACACGAGAATGGTTGTACGTCAATAAATAATTTAAATAGGTTTTACATATGAAAATATAACGCAAATTTATGCTAAAAGATGGTCCTAAAGTGATTGGGTTAGTTTGCTTAAGTATACTGTAAAAGTTCGTTTGTACTTTCATGTGAGAGGCCAGTGATTGAAATGCTGTCAGGGTATTCTAAAAGTGTTTGATGAATTGTGTTTGCGGTACTCTTATAGTATGTAATAAATGAATAAATAAATAAAATAAACTCTTAGACCGTGCCAATTAACGATATTCTGAATATTAAATTGTTGTAGAGCTTACTTAAAAATAAATCTGAGTAAAAAAAAAACCTTTAAACATAGTGGATAAATAGCAGGAAATTAAAAAAGCGAATGAAATGATTGACATTCTGAAGTGTATATTAATGTATGAACGTCTTTTAAATCTTACCTGTTATTTTTCAAGTGCAATTAATTTCGTTTGTTTCCAACAATAAATGTTCTAACTTTTTGCAAACTAATTTATAATACAAGAATAACACTGTCACACACAGCACGTGAATCTAAATAATTAAAGTTTCATGTTTAATATCGACCGATTTCAAGAGAACAACACTCGTCAATAGCAACAAATGTTTATTTATTTCACTCAATCGCTAAAAAAAAATGTATGGATTGTGCATTAAAAAAAATGAATTTCTGATGGAATTATACTGGCGTTAGCAAAAAACAATTAAATTTGACAAATAAAAAACACGAAACGTTCAGCGATCCCCTTTTGATTCTTTTGGGTAGTGGTGATTAGACAGTCCGTAGTGATGCGTCGCGGTGCTTTTGAACACTGTTGCGCGCTCGCCGTCAACACGGTGTAAGAGGATTTTACACCTGACCGTGCGCGCCTTTACCCGAAGCGACAGCAGCGGCGTTTAACCATGTTGTGTTATATTTTTCACGCAATCCTTTGTTGGTTCCGAAATCAGAAATTAATTAGACCGTTTTGTTTCATATGCGTACATATTTCTGTGTATGATGTGTACATTAATTTTACCATTTTGATGTTCCCGTGGAAAACGGTAACATCGTAACGATTTCACGAATTGACGCGGGGAAATCTTTTGTGAAAAATCACTTAAATCAATAAAAGTGTTTTGAGGGCTTACAAATATATTTTTTCTACTTATTGTAATCAAAAACGAGTTTTGAATACTGAAAAAGTTCATTTCTACTTTTGAATTATATAAATAACAATAATTAAAAAAAACTATTATTAACTTAAAATTGTTTGCAATATTTTATCGCTTTACAATTCTGTATTAAACTCAATAAAAATGTTGTTTCTCATTTGTTGTTTTATTTCGATTAAAATATAATTATAAAATAACTAAATATATTTTGAATTCATTATTTTAATTATTAAATTCTAACCGAAATGAAATATAATTCCTAAATCATATTTTAAAACTTGTCATTTGAATCAAACCATCAATTAGAGTGATTGTATTTAAATTCAACACTCTATACCATTGTAGAAACGTTTTAAAACTAAATGCAAAGTTTATTTTATTTGTTAAGACCAATAATTATGGATTACGTTTCATTTAAAAATATAAATTAGAATTAAAACACTAACTTTGCCAGCTTAAATTAGTGAATGCCAAGAGTAACACGACATATTTTAATCATAAAATACTATTGGAATTTTTTTTACAGTTGAGTTATTTATATTCCTCCTGTGTTATATAAAGATCACTCGTATATGCACTTATTATTAATTAAAATTAACGCGTGTTAATTATAATTGTGTATAATTAATAATAGTATAATATATTACTTCCAAAACAATTTTTTTTATGTTATTCTTCAATTATACCTTCGTCTATTTTTTAGTATTTTTATTATGGGTTAAGAATTATCTGCCATGGACTTTTCATCTAAAACATCGTATATTTATATTACGAAAAAATGAGATTCTTCATTCAAGATGGAATAATTCTATGATATTTATAATTCNTATTTATATTACGAAAAAATGAGATTCTTCATTCAAGATGGAATAATTCTATGTGCGTATAATCTGAAAAACAATCTTGTGTAATCGTTTAACGTAAACCTCTTTTAAGTCACATGTGTTATGTCGTTGTTGCTTTATTGAGCGTAGATAGCTAGTGATGCGTATTTAGTGACTTAAGTTCCTTGGGATATTATAAGTTTAGAACTTCCACGCCTGAAGTTGAGATTACAGAAAGGCAATTTCCACCAATATAAATTTAATCCAAACTTAGTGGATCAAAAAGTATCGGTTCATCTCTGTTTATGAGATATCTATATATGCAATTGGTTTGATTGCATGTCATGCCTTGCATTTATATTGCAATGTTTATAATTATTGTAATCCTCGTTATATATAAAAACGCAGAAATATCATGTTACTTAAAGTAGCCGGCATCTAGATCTAATTTTTTTTTCTATTTATAAGCAATTACTATTTACTAGCATTTACTTAAAATAAATAAGTTGTGCTTCATTTGAGGGTAATTCTCTGTTTGTGGTGATTAGGAGTATAAGAAATTTATTGTATATTATGCGCTCTTTAATTTTCTCTAGATGAACCTATTTTAATTTCAATTTAAGAAAATAGAACCGCTGGAAACATAATAAAACATTCAATAGGAGGTCTTTAAATATTTTTGTACTCTAAGTCTGAACTTTCTTATTAACACTGTTATGTTCGTGATTATTTTTTCGAAAAAATTGTAGTTTTAAGAAGCGCTTATTACTTCCAAATATGTTATTTAAATGATTTTAAAATATTATTAACTATACTGGCTAACAATTACACAAAGGTATTTTGATAAAAAAAAAAAAAAATACTTTTTTATTAATATATTTCAACACTTGTAAAATTGAATTTTTNTGATAAAAAAAAAAAAAAATACTTTTTTATTAATATATTTCAACACTTGTAAAATTGAATTTTTTAAAAAATATGCATATCAAACTTATTTACAATAAAAAAGTGTATAATATTAATATCTTCATATTAATATGAAGATATGAATGGTTTATTAAATTAATCTATAAATGCGCTTTTCTGTTCTCCACCATGAAATTAAATACACTCAAAGTTGTTTTTCAGTTATAACTAGTTATAATTACAATGAACAACATAAAAATAAATCTCACTTACTGTCCTATTTACCATAAATCTAGAATTTGGATTAATTAATTTATACATTTACATAAAGCTCATACACTGTCCAGTACTTAAAATTAAACTTTATTAAATAGAAAAAAGACCAATTCTTCTATAAATAAATATATCTATATGTATATATATTTTTTGAAGTAAAAAAAATGAATATGTATTGTTTTTAATTAAAATCATTTCAAAACTGTATTACGCATATAAATGACTTTCGGAGGAATATTATAAACGTTTTATATTAAAAACAAAACATGATAAAATAAAATTCAATTATTACTATAAATAGAAATAATAATGAAATTTTTTATTTGTCAATTATTTGATACTTTAACTGAATAATCTATAATATAATGCAGTGATGAAAAACATTATCAAATAACGCTATTAACGTTAAACCCCCAAAAAACGAAAACAATAAAAAGTTGACGATGAAAAAGATAAAAAAACGTTATCATAAACGAAATTTGATATTTAAATAATTGAAGAATAAAATGTAATTAAGTTTTTTTTATGAATAAAATAATTTTATTATAGATCAAATAAGTGGGTTACACTATTACATAATCAGGGAATTTAATTTGGTAATATATAAAATATTTCTATACATTTTCCATTTACGATTTTATGATAAAAAAAAAATTTAAATAGAGTTCTTGTACTAATTTTCTTTTATTTCTTTATTTTGTAGATTTGTTGTAATTTTTCGTCTAACATTTCATCTTTATTTAAGATGCAAGTTATTCTAAAATTTTTATACACAAAAATCACTTAAACTTTATTTCGAGGGTTGTAATAAAATTCCTAATATTAATGTTGATCTCTCAATAAAATTAAATAGAATCATGTTACTACATAGAGTAACAAAAATTTAGAGTGAACACGCCATTAATCATTTTACTATTTACTTTCATGCAAAACATGGTCATGTTACATTATTAAATAAAAAATAGCTAGGAAATACAGTTTTTTTTAATATAAGTATGATGAAAATAAGTCGCACATATCATATAAATTAAATCTTAAAGGTATTAAGAAATATTAATAAAATTATAAAATTCTGGTTAATTTAATTTAGTATTAAATTATAGATAGTGTATCTATTAAGATGTTTGGAATAAACGAGATATTTTTAAAATTAACCTTGTCTTTAGCATAGTCTGGTTACTATTTTAAAAAATTATACTATTAATTTCCATAATCTCAATTATTATTACTGTAAGTTTTATCATAGTTAAAATGTTATATATTTTTTGTTAAATTATTATATAATACAAATTATTAATAATGCTATAATATAAAAATTTTAATTCCATTAAATTGATCCCTGCTCTATTTATGATTTTGTTGGCAGGTTGATATATCATACATTTTATTTTAATCATACTTCATCTGTATCTAATTTTCAAGTTTTCATTTTACTATATGAAAGTAAAAAAAGAGTTTATTTCACTAAAAGTAATCCATCTGGTTTTGACATAAATAAATTAAGTTTACATGTAAAATTGTCAAAACATGATAGTTACACTATATTTCGAATTTTGAGACTTTCATGTTTTTAACTTTAAGAAAGTTATCTTAGTTTATATGTTTTGGATGTTATAAAGAAAATATTTTAAAGAATTAAGACCTTAAATTTAAAGTGTTTTATACATTTTAAAATTATATTTTTCTTATTTAATAAAACCTTGTGAAAATATTAAAATAAAATTTTCAACTAGAAAAACTGCAAGTGATTGCTGGTATTCATATCCAATTTATAATAATCCTTATAGAATTATTTAAGCACTTTATGTGTGCATGTTATAGAATTTCCTTAAACTATGTATTAAATATTATTGTGTTTAAGTTCTTTTACTTGTTTGTCAAAAAAACATGTTTAGGGACTTATTTATTTTCATTGCTCTAATACCTGATAAGTAATCTATACTATTCTATTTAAGAGTACCTCACTTTTTAGAATATTTTACTAAGAAATTAAGAAAAACAGGTTTTATATCTCTCTAAAAGAAGTTTAAATAGTATTTTATTTAACATTTTTACCTAATGAATGATTTTTTATTTTCCAAAAATTGATGGAATTCTGTTGAAAATCATTGATATTTTTAATTAAGCTTACGGAAAGAATTTCCTTGAAATATAAAGGAGTATCTGTTTTAAGTTTCCATAGGTATAAAAATAATGTTTGATACTACACTTTATCACAGTACATTTTTTTTTCATTTTGTTTTTTTTTTGTCTATGTGCTTACTAAAGTACATTTACAATCTATATAAAATTTTCAACAAATTAAAACTTATTTACTTAAGTTGTTAAAATCGAAACTATTTGTTTAGAAGAATAATGAAAATAAATGTTTAAATTTTATAAAACAAATTATTTAACAAAACAATTACAATAAATAATGGAAACATATTTCATTTTATTTTATTTTAAATTTAATATGCACTTAAAATTATACAGGTGGTTCACTTATCGTGAACTACTTATTTAATCAAAAAATAATGATATTAATAATTTTTTATTTGTTACTTTTAGGTAAAAAATTCTCTCAATTTTTCAAGTTTTTTATATTTATTCCTTATACCTTATATGGGTATCAACTTTAATCTCTCAAATGGCAACCTGTATATAAAATCTTTTTTGATCTAAATAA